GATATGGAAATATAGACCAGGTGAAAACCCCATGACAGAAGGAGAGATGACACAACTGTTTATAATTGGTGAAAAGATCGACTTCAATCGTCTCTGACGCGTTGTGTAGTGCTAAGACTGAAAAAGCTCACTGAACATACCGGCGAAACGTATTGGAATGTACCAAGTTCACTGTCCGACTTTGGACATTATCGTGCATACTATGGACTCTGGACAAGTTGCGTTCCTCTAGGCCTTGCTGTTAATATGACCAAGTCGCGAAAACAAAATCAAATAATTACTATCCAACGAAAGCAGACCGTGACTATAAAAAAGCACACGCCATCTTGGTCTTCATACCTCCTGCTTATACTGGATTTACTTTCCATAATGGCATTATTTTGTATCCCCTATTAATGTCTCATCCCAGCGGATATAATAATCTCATTTTTATGCTGTACTCCTTAGAATTAAAAAGGGGCCTTTCAACATTAGATTTGGGCGACTCTTCTCTTTTATTCATTTTTCATTACCTCATTGAAAGTAAAATAGTTACTTTTTTGGCTTGGAATTTTGTCTATTTCTGGAATAATTTGAGCTATACTTTTGATTCTATAAAACCTCCTTAAAATAGGTGTTTAGAGTTGACCTACTTAATGTTTTTGTTTAATTTTATCATCTGATTCTAGCTTTTAATTTAAACTCTTTCTATAGGTTCAATACCAAAACAGAAATCGATACTACACCTTATCGCCGCACATTGTGGAATCATGTTCAGAGTCTTTTTGGAGTTTGTCATGATGATTTTCGCTACGAATATGTTGACAAGCTTTTCACTCGCCCTCAACAAACTTTTCTCAAGCTCTGCGCCACTCGTCCCTATGAAATTCTTTCTACTGGCAAAGATGCCCTTTCCTACAACCAAATAATGCCGTTTCTCGCTCCGTCAGAAGTGGTGAGTTATCGGATCATAGAAATAAGATTTTTGAACTTCTCTTTTAGCTTAACTAGCTAGGACAGTCAGTCGAATCACTAGTTAATTTAACTCTTGATAGTCTTTAGTTGCCTAAAATATTATTTCCATAAGCAAGACATCTTGATTATTTAGTATTTTATTTTTTCTGCATTATATTTTATTAATTGTTATTGATTAAGAACTTAGCTTAAATGGTTTTCAAAACTGGGCTTAACTAATAACCTAATGACTGTTACGTAAAGGTTTCTCGTGTAAGTCCTCATCAAAATTTGCTGATAGTTATACTATTTGATTACTTTAAAAAATTCTTTTCCATAATATTAGATCTTTGAGAATCCCCGCTTTTTAAAAAGTTTTACTGGTCTGTAAGCCAGATCTCAGATCGTCTAACTAGGGTAAGCAAATGGTCTGAGCCATGGGTGCGAATTAACCTCTAGATACATCATCTCTTTGTAGTTACTGGTGCTCCTAATAATTTATTTATATCATTTTCCTAGGTTCACCTTATCTTGATGATCATGGACGCCCGTGAGCAAGCCTGTCTCCTTCATATTGCTCATGCCATCTCTGATGCTCACATTGGTGCTTAGAATTATGATATGTACAGATTTCATTCCCTTTGATTTGGCCTGTTATTTTTTTTCTTCCGTAATACACGTGCATTTATTTCGCTTAACTTGTGCAGGTGTATATGTGTATGTATGGACGCATGTGTGGCTATATTTACTTATCTTGATGTAATGATCATTGTTCTCGGCTCGAATTATGCTTCTGTGTCTATTTCCTCTCGACCCTTCTGGATGCAAATACATCATCAGACCAACGCATGCCTATTCTACTGACTAATTCTTAGTTATTTTTAGTTCTTGTTGCTTTATCTAACTTTTCCAATAATCTATCTCATTTCGCACTTCCGGAATTTTGTTTTTTTGCTAGGTTCTGCATGTTAGTCGCTTAATTTCTTATTAATTTATCTTCCTTTTCTCAACAATGCATGAAATGAAACTTTTAAGCCATAAAATAAAATCTTAGCACATGTTGCATATCCTTTCAAGAAAACTAAGCTCAGCATAATTATCGCCTATTTATTTGTGATTTTTGCTGCTGCTGATTACGGAAATTCCTAGAATTGTCTAATCTCTTTTCCATTGACAAGGCGAATTGATTTTTCCATATTTTTCCTCTTCCAGCTTACCACAGAATTCTACTCTGTGTACAATAAATTACCTTTATAAATCGAATGGCTTATTCCGAGTTGCTTGATAGGCATGGTGCGGCTCTGCATTTGCATGTAACTTATATCTATCTATCTCCATCCGCTTTTCCTCTTTATTTTCCTCTTCACCAATTGTTCATTTTCAAAACTGTTTTCTTCATAGCCATTCCCATTCCATCTGAGATTCCTGATTTTCTTTAATTTCTAATCTCCTGATTTGCACATGAATACATTTTGTATACTCATTTTCAGCTTGATTCGATTTTTCTCAGACTATTTCTTAAGATCGTTTTTTCTGTTATTATCGATTTCACATATATATCTCTTCATTCAGCTTTTCTAGCCTATAGTGCTAACACACACGTCCGTGAAGATTTATTGGACAAGCGTTCGAATTGTCTCTTGTTTGTTCCCCTTTTAGTTCCATTTGGTTCTCATTTTCATCTATTTTTCCTTTATTTCTCCTTTTATGCACCGTAGCTTGGATAATCCAGAGATATAATCTCCTATCTGTTTATAAATCATATTGTATTCTATTCTTTCTTTGTCACACAATCTCAAGTCTTCATCCACTGTGTGGATATCCACCTTGAGCAGACCTTAGAGCGCCTTCTTTCTCAACTTGAAATTTGTTAATTTTTCACATAGCTTAGAACTTGACCAATTAACCGGTTGGTCGAGTAGTTAAAGAACGCCATATAGGCCCAAATCTTAATTTGCGCCATCCCATCCGTCCGCCTTACCTACTGATCTTCTTAGCCTATTTTCGATGGATGTCTACATATAAATATACTTATATACGCATGTTTTATAATGAACTTACTTTCATTTAAGGGACTTTACATCGGCGCCATTATTTTTCAAATAGTTTTCAATCCATTGCTCAGCTAACTTACCTTGGTCGTCAAACTTCCGCAGACAATACGCCGCTAGTTACTTCATTACAGAAGGGTATTTTTCCTAATTCCAGCCATTTGCTTAAGGCAGCCTTCTGCTTGGTCGCAGTCTCCTTTAACTTTATAATTTTGGTTCGACCTTGTTTTCGCAACTCGGTCGGAGCCTCAGAGAGACCTTGTGGAACGTACCTAGTCCTGTGTCCTCTGCCATAGAATTCATGATTTTCAGCTTTGGACCATTGACTTGGTACATTTCAAACGTTTCGCTGGCATTGTCAGTGAGAGGCGCCGTTGGTAGTACAGAATTATAACTTATAAAAATGATAAATGAAAGCAATCCCCTTGGCCACTTTTTTGTTTAACCGTTGTGGTATTACTCCTCACCTCCATCTTTTGTTTTCCATTCTAGTGCTGCATCTCGTTTTCTCAACCCTACTCCATATGACCCATACACGTATTCACACAATTCTCTACTTTGCTTTCCTTCAATGTCGCCATGGCGTATGTCACTACAAGTGGAGTTATTGAAGCTTAATCATCTCCACCATCGGCACCAGATCCTGTTTGCAGTACTTCTGACCTATATTCTGCCCTTTTCCTCCTACCTCGTTTGTCAATTGATCTCTACTAAAGATCGAAATCAGTCTGACTGTCTGGAATCTCGCTGCTCAAAATCCTTCACTTCCCGTCTCCGATTACGCCATATTCGAGGTTTTCGTGTAAATGCGGCCTCTCTCTAGGCTTCAAACTTATGACTAGATTATACTCTTCCTCATCGCTTTAGGGCCTTGCGTTTAGCCTGAGTCAACCGCTGGTACGAAAATCCACGGCTTCCCTTGAATTGTGAAAAGCGCACTTCGCTCGTCTCAAGTTGGAACTCCCATCCAATCCTAGGGTACTAGTATGATGTACATTTGTGTGTTGGCTGGTATCCTTAATGGTCAAGTATGTCGTCTGTCTCCTCCCCTTCAGGCACAGACACAAGAAATACACACAAGCACCTACGCACAACATGGTGTCATATGTCTAGCCTTTAATTTCATCCTAATTCCCAAAGGTAGACCTACGAATTGATTCTTTGGCCGATTCCTGGTATGAACCCTTACACTGTAATCACCTTTTCCTGACTTCCCTTTGTTCCTCATGAGCGATTTCTTAATGATATTTTCCTGTTGTTAGACAGTAGTCCTGGATCTAAGCGTTTTCTTTTTGATGCCCCTGCTAGACCTCCAAGTCTGTTCTGGCACTACTCGAAATTATCGCTCACGCCTCCCTCTTTTAATCTCCTATTCAATAAGTTTCTTTGAAAGATGATGTCCATAGCTTTCCTGATTTGTTTTTTGGTGTCTTCACCATATGAGGCCAGTCTTTCCTTTGCACTCCATTCAAATGCGGCCGGTAAGAGCGGTTTATCCAGCTATCTCCGATCTTTCCGTATCCATTTTTCTACACAGTCGCTGGTGTTCTTTCATCCTTGTGCTGATTGTCCTTCCAGTCTCACCGATGTATTTTTGTGTATGGTCTTGCAGTTTGTGCTGTAATCTCTGGAGCACTGACTTAAGTCGGACACATGGCCCCAAAGAATGAGATACAATGTAGGTGGGGCTAAGGAAAAGGATAATCAAGTCATGTGTTCGAAGATTAGGGATAGGAGGTTCCAGACTCTGTATGGGCGCCATCTGCTCTAAATCCTCGAATATGGCTTTATCGCCAACGGGAATTTAAGGCTTTTAGGCAGCCAGACTGATTTTGATGCTAAGCAGCGACCACTTGATAAACGGGGTAGGAGAATGGGGTGCAGAATTAAGTCAAGGAGCCCTGCAAGCGGTACCTGGTACCTGTGGTAGAGATTATTGCGCCTCACCAAGCTCACTTATAGCTGCACACTCTTAGGCGACATTAAAGGAAACGTAAACGCGTAATTGTGTGATTAAATGGATGGGCCATATGAAGTGGGATTGAAAGGAAAAGATGCACCATTAGGTGATAGAACAAAAAATGGGGACGAGGAGCGATGCCCCAACCGTCCGACAGAAAATTGCTCAAGAGGATCGCCTTCATTTGTCACTGATAAGTCGTATTTCTGTACTACCGATGGCGCCTCCCATTTTCGATGCTGGCGAAACGTTCAGTAATCTACTAAATCAATGGTCCGAAGTTGGAAATCGCAAATACTATGTGCGTTCCACAAGGTCTCCCTGACGCCCCTACCAATTTGCGAAAATAAGGTCGAACCAACAAAATGAAATAGAACTTGTGAGTATTATAGACATTTTACAATGATGCTCATCACAAAAAGCTTGTGCTTAACACTATGCTCCACGATGCTAGGTCATTCCAAGCATACTCTCCTGGGAAGGCTAGTATGTTGAGGTTAAGTTTGCCAAAAACGTTTATCCATCGATTGATTGGGTCCAGGTATAAATATATATACATAGCTATTGGTATCCATCTCATATCGCAATAGTACCGCTTACGAGACAGCTTAATGAGGTTTTAGGCTATAGAGTTAGATGAGTGTCTCCGATGTTCGTGTCTCCGTCTCAGAAGCTAAGCTGGTCATCTATGTTGGCTGCGCTCAAGTTATAGAAGAACAAATGAACACTTCTGAGCCTGATTATCGTTAGTACCTTATCTGGAAAAGCGAGAATATGAGGATGCATATACGTATTAGTAATTTTCCTTGAGTTTAATGCCAAGTCCTGTGTGCATTGGATGCCCCGGTCTAACTTTTAGTCAGCGTTCTTTGTTGCTGGTTATTGAGGACAGATAATTGGTCTCCTAGCCAACTCTAGGGTTGCCTTCTCAAAATCCCAGTGTGAATCGATTTATTATTGGATTGGATAAGATAAACTACCCCAAGTTGACATTCTGGGTGATACAATGGCTTACAGTTGAATAACCTACAACGGAATGAGTACAAGAGATGATAAAATTGATTTTTGAGGAGCCTTGCCTCCAAGATTTCTTTCTCATACACGCAAGGGTGAGGGCTTTCATTTCCTATGAAAGTATATGATAAGAGATTCGTAGGTAAATCTCACCAGAAGACACTGGCTT